TCGCATTTGTGGGAGTCAAGTTTCATTGAGGAAAGGCCGTAATCTAATTTTATCGCGACCGCCGATCTTCACCGGCGGCAGGGATTCTGTGACCCGCAGGGCGACTGAGGCTGAGGGTTGCGGAGCAGCAGAGGGATGAAACTGGAGAAGAGTTCAAATCCCGACTCGTGGCATCATGTGAGGCTTCGAGGAGAGGAAAATGGGGTTAACAATCACCCATTCAGTGGCCTCAAAAGCGACAGCATCACGAGAGTCGCGTGCGTTGATCTGAAGAGAGTGTCTTTGGGAAGGGGTGAGTTGCATCAATTCCGCAGCAATATTGCCATGGGTGAGAGGATATCCTCTCTGTCGTGAACTCCTGCGGGGATGTGGGAAAAGGGGTCCAACTCGGAAACAATTTCTATCAATCACTGGTTAATATTATTACACCTCATCCCATTTTTGCACACAAGAATGCGAGGATGGAGAGTATCTCAGAGCATATTTCATGCATTTGCCAAGAGCGAGCTTCCCATGAAAATATAATTTTTGGGCAAATTTATGAAAGTCTCAAGTCTTTTATGAGATTTCCACCCTCAATTTCGCCCGAAAATGTATCCGAATGGCAAGTTTATTTTCCCATATTTCCCGGGAGAAATGCCATTTCGGTATTACGGTTCATAAACTTAGTTGAATTTTTATGTAATTTTTAAACTGATTTGAAATCAGTTGTCGTGAGTGCCAGACTTTTTCCACCCTGAATTCACTGAATCACGAAATCTGGTGAGGATTTTGGAGAAGATACTAAACATTTCGCTTTTTGTGCGCTGTCGTCCATAAAGTAAAACAATGGTCATGATGGGCGTCTTTCTTGCTAATTAAAATTCACCAGAGAGCGAGAGAGAGTGATAAAATGTCAGTGCGGAAAAATAAGAGTGCCATTTATTATCTCACCATCGCGCGCCGTTAACGGTCATTTCGAGAGTCCTCGTTGAAATTAATTTCCTTTGAATATCAATTGAAATTTTATTTGATCGGGTGACAAAACTCCCCTCTGCGAATTGTGATTTATTGCAAAATTATCGGTCTGACCTCGTCTGCGTCGGGCCCAGAAATTTAAAGGATCAATACGCGCAATTTATTCAAATTTTTCATAAATCTTACCGGAGCTGTGAAAGGGAACGTCAGAAGGAAAATGTTTGCGCCCATGAGGAGGAATAATGCTGCATGTCTCAGAGTCTGACCCCTCAATTGTTGTTCGCATGCAAATATCTCAGGGGTAAGGCTTTATGCGGCTGAATTCTAAGGGCTAAATCTAATTTATCGCCACAGTCCGAAAACTGGACACACACAAAACTCTCCTCTCGGAAAGGAGTCTCCCTCTCTCTTCGGGCCACTTTCTTCCCATGGAAATCCTCTGCACAGAACCAAGAGTTTTGCCAGAAATTCCACGCTTGCGGAAACTAAATCAATTTCATTCCTCCCTTCATAACGGTCGCCAAGAAATTTCCCTAAAGTGTCCTTATTTTGAGGAATGTCGCAAAAAGTGTGCGTAAAAAAGCCAGCATAATCAAATCCAATTATGTTGAACAATGTTTCCAAAATAGTGCAAAATACCAAGCGAACACGTCTGATTTGTTACATTGTCCCCTTCGTGCACGAAAATGGGTCACATCTTCAGGACTTTCAAGGGCCGCAAGGCGATGCTTTGGCAAAAAAGAAAGTAGATTTCATATTTTTTATGCCAAAAAATTGAAATAGGGAGAAAACAACAGAAGAGCGACTTGGAAGTATAGTTGATAAAAGGGCGATGTCAAATAAAATTAGCTCGAAATTTCCCCAGTTCGCAAATAAGGCAAAGCGGGGCTCTTTTGAGTAGATTTAGGAGTCATGAGATGAAAAAAATGAATTCAAAGTATTCTGTAGTATAAAATTTCAGAATTCTTCAGTGAAAACCCGGATAAATTTTCATTATAGAAGAAAACTCAAAAAATAACCTTCAACTTATCTTCAAATGTTAAAGAAACTAAAAACTGCTTTAATTTATTAATACGGCTTTTAAAACCGAGATGAAGTCAAGGATAAAGCATACAAATTTAGACTCGCAAAGAAGAGTGTTCAAAATTACCACTTTTTTGGTTTTCAGTATAGAAAATTTGCAAGAATTGAAAAGGCCACTCATGCCACTCATGAATGCAATGCATGAGATTATTTTCTTCTCCCCACAAAAATGAAGGTTTTTTTTCCAAAATGTTGCAACACAAAAACAAGAAATTTATGCGTTTTTTTCTGTTTCACGCCTTGAGTATCTGCGAATTGCGATTCTTTTCTGTTTGTTATTTGAAAAAAAAGTAGGGCGAGAAACTCCCGAAAGATGCACTGCAACATGACCTCTGACTTTCACGCATCGTCTGATCTGAGAGGGAAACAATCTTGCGAATTGGTGCAGATTTGCTTGTTGCGGATCTATTTTGACAGTGGCAGTTAAAAAATGCAAGAAGACTGTTTCTTTTTTGTTGGAAATTGGCCGTTGGAGATGCAGTATTTTATCCCATGGCTTCGTGCCGATAGAGAATAAAGGAGAATGCAATTGATGTGAGAATTACGTGAGAATTCATGCTTTCTACGAAGCAAAATTATCATTTTAAATGAAATGAGCCGTATTATTATTCGATTTTAAACAGCTGTGGACTTCTTCATTGCGCCTTTGCCTTCGTTTTTCTGTGGTGATCGAGAAATGCTAGGTTTTTTGTATGCAAATTCAGTGGGACTCATACTTTTGATATGTATCGCACGCGGACTATTTTTCTTCACACGCGAAAGAGGTCACAACATTGGTTTAACCTCTTTGTTCTGTTTATATACCGAACACTCACCACTGATCATTATCCATTCGGAAAATGCCTGTAAATTTAGATTTGCTGACGACAACCATTGGATTCGCTGCTCATTGAGCGTGATTTGTTGTTTGGCGATCGGCAATTGAAGTGATATTTGCAGTGTGGTTCTCGCGCGAGTCAGAAATAAATGAACTCTCGCGAGACATTAAATTTAACCCGCAAACAATGATCGCGAGGATCAGCGGCCAACAAATTTCAGGCAGCGCGATTTTTTTGGCTCGATGTAAATGCCATCCACTCGAGTTCAAATTGGCCATTAGACAAGCAATAAAAGCACGGCTGAGAGACACACCTTTGATCTTTTTTCACTTTGCCTCCGCCGGCCAATGATGCGCGATCACATTCTCTGGCACAGCGACCATCTCTCGTGACACTCTTGGCCTGTCTGTTTGCTCAAGTGTCTTCAATTAGCCAATGAGACTCTCGAGCGGAATTCTACACAGATTGTTTACCTTTTATAATAATTCCCAAAGAACACTTCTTTATTGCGCAAAGAGTGTCGAAACTCTGAGTGAATTCATCGATCAAGACCCAGGCAAACAGAGGTTTGAAAAGGGATGAAAAGCTCATGGAAAGAAGTGCAGGGATGAGGATATTTAAATATTTGCCAGCAAGATTAGAGTTTGTACATCACTGGATGGCCATTTGAATAAAAGACCAACACAATTGGAATCCATCTTCATCAATTTAATCAGCCAATAAATCCATCTTACGACTTGCAATCAATCACAATTTCTGAGATCACCGACCACTATCTTCGCCACTCACACACTCTATTTAATTGAACTCTGGTAGGCACGGAAAGTGTGGTGTGGAAGATGGTGAATCAATACATTTTATTCGCAATGCGAGGCGTCAGAAGATGCGCACCATTAATTAATGCTCCTTTTCATGTGAATTACGCCACGGCGTGTGATTAGCATTTTGAGGTCGCTGAACAATGGACACTCTTCTCAATTGCCATCGTTAGATTAACACTTATGGCTGTGATAAATGATAAAAAACCATCTCGTGGAGATTTCTCGAAGTGCACTGACTCGCCGAGGGAAGAAATCAATGCTCTTTCTGTGGAATTTCACGCTGAATCATGCCTGATTTTGAGAGAAATTCAAATCTTGAATGCAGAACAGACCCTCGCTTTACTTTTCATCCCCTTTTCTTGTGTGTGCGATGCACATATTCCCATCTTTTCTACCCCAAACAATCTCTCTTGCAGTCCAAATTGTATTTGCATAGGGAAGCAGGTAAATTTTCAGGAATTGTGTACGCGCAAAAGATGTTGCGATTATTAAAATTAGGAATTTTTCACACGGCTGGACAATTTTGGCATTCGAGCTGTCTTGCAGGAAATTCCCCCAGCAATGCATTCTCTCCGGATTTTGTGAAAATATCATTTGTGTGATATTCGGCATGGTAAGTGGATTGTGAATTTCTGCCCTACTTGTGCGTATAAATTCATGAATTCCAAAATATATAAAATTTCTGGGGCGAATAAGTTTGTCGAAGCGGAACGAATTTTCGCATAATTCATTTGTTGACAGATCTATAACGATTTTTATTTGCTCTTTTGATGTGTGACAAAAAAAATCAAGCACAAGACACCACTTTTTATCTATTCTCTTTTTTAGGGCTGATCTTTGGAGAGATTTTCTTGTCAACACACGATTGGAGTGATGCAATTCGATTGAAATTAATTATTTTTCGATTGATTCAATTGTTCGTTGATTGATGAAATCTCTGCATAGCAGCGAGGATCAGTTTTTTGGACGTCTTCTGAGTTAGAGTTCATTGAAAATCAATTAATCAACATATTATATATCAGTGTACATTGCTAGAGCAATTAAAGTGACAATTAAACAGTCAATAACGCTCATAGTTTGCAATAAAATGATAAAATTCATATCCCTCATCACTTCCGAGGTGCTGAGCCACTATCAATTCGTAGAAATTTGGATTCCACGTACAGCTTCACCTTGTTCTTGATATTCTTCAAGTGCGGGCAACATTCACATGATTTCCTCCGCATTATCAGAGGTGGAAATAATTAAATGATAATAATTCACTATAAAAACTATGAGTAAACTAGGAAAGTTATGTGAGTTGAATACGAAATCTGTAACAATGAAGTGCAAAATAGCAGTTCTAGTCGCTTTCCTTTGCTTTTGGGTGGTTTGTGCTGAGGAAGCGGCGAAAGGAGACCAGAGAATTGTGGGAGGAAAGGCTGCAGAGGAACCTTATCCCTACCAAATCTCTCTCCAGGTGTTTGTGAAGGGTAACAAAGTGGGTCCTTTCGGTCGAGATGATGGATTCCGTCACAACTGCGGAGGGTCAATCATTAACGATTACTACGTGGTCACGGCAGCTCATTGCGTTGAAGAGTAAGAAACTCGCAAGTGAAGGTTTGCAATCGAAAAGGCTCTAATCTTTAGATTTTCTCTCAAAGTTACTCAGTTGAGCGTCTTGAAATCCTCGCTGGCACCAATAAACTCGACAGCGGCGGCGAAAGATACAAAGTCGACAACTATCTCATCCATCCTGACTACGAGAAGCTCAACACCAGCGATATTGCCTTGATGAGGACAACGCGCCCATTCAATTTCTCCAATCCTAACATTGGCACAATCGACTACAACGATGAGTTCATTGGCGGAGGCGTTGAATGTGTGCTTACTGGCTGGGGTTACACGACTCCTATCAGGATTGGAGATCCTCCAAATGACCTGCAAGAAGTCTACGTTCCCACAATCACTAACGAACAGTGCCGCGAGGAGGGAATGAACGTGAATCCCACTGAAATCTGCACAAAGTCTGAGAAGTTTCTCACCGGCGCTTGTGGAGTGAGTGTCAATTAGCCAACAATCCTAAATGGCATTTCTTTATAAAAGCTTTCTCAAATTTATAGGGTGATTCTGGAGGTCCACTGGCCATTAAGGATCGCAATCTCCTTGTTGGAATCGTGTCTTATGGCACAATCATCTGTGCGATGGGCGCTCCTGATGTTTTCACCAGAGCCTCAGAGTTTAAGGACTGGATCGATGAGAACAGCCAAGCTTAAGTCAAAACTAATGTAATTCAATATTTATTCAATGGTGGTGGGTTTAAAGGACATCTAAATAAAGAATATCATATTATGCAAACGCAAATAAGCCTTTTGCTTTCATACGACCTCACGCAGTGATAAGATTACTTGAACTTGATACCGTTTCGCGAAGGCTGAATTGCATCAGGTGCATTCTTAGCATTTCATTGGAGTTGACGCCCCGATTATGATAATAATTAACCTCCGGATGGCGGAAAAAAAATTTGTGTGGGTGACAAAACCAGTCTCAAATGTTGTGTATAAAAGGCAGAAGCGATGCCACGAGTAATCAGTTAATTCTGAAACCTGTGAAGATGAAGTTTCTGGTCTTGAGTGCTCTTCTCTTTGTCATCCTGGCGCCTTTTGCAGGAGGAGAAAGAATTGTTGGAGGTGGAAATACGCAGAATGCGTTTCCCTACCAAATTTCCCTGCAACTCTTCCACAGAGGACAGTTTCGTCACATTTGCGGTGGCTCGATAATACACGAGCGATTTGCCATCACAGCTGCTCACTGCTTAGAGATGTATTTCGCGAATAACTGTATGCTTAAGATGTGGCAGAAGAATATTTATGACTTTCTTTTGTAGGTTTCAGGCTGATAGACTCGAGATTTTGGCCGGAACTTCCAATCTCAAGAGTGGTGGCGACAGGTACAAAGTCCAGCAATTCTGGATTCATCCAGACTACCAGCAACTCTACACCAGCGACATTGCTGTGATGAGAACAGACAGGCCTTTTGATTTTTCCAATCAGAACATCTCGAAAGTGTCGTACAGCGATGAATACGTTGACGGTGGCGAAAAAGTTACTCTCACGGGATGGGGAAACATTTACCCATTAAGACCTGGCAAGATTCCTGACGATCTTCAGGAAGTCAACTTGGTGACAGTCAGCCACAGCACTTGCAGCAATTTCCACAATCTCTCTTCAACGGAAATCTGCACTCACAGACTCTTCGGTGGCGCTTGTGGAGTAAGTTCAATTGTTGGAATGGGAATTGAGCAAACAGCTACTCTAGACAATGTTTTGAACAGGGTGATTCGGGAGGACCTCTGGTGCTGAAGAAGAACCAGCAACTCATCGGCGTGGTGTCTTACGGATTGAGGATTTGCGGCACTGGCTATCCGGATGTCTTCACCAGAGTGTCGCCGTTCAAGCCGTGGATCGATGAGCGCTGCGCCATGGCGGAGGAAGAGTGATTGCAGACGAATGACTAAATATACAATTGCACGGATTTGCACAGAAATTTGCATATGGCTTGAGGGTTGCTTCGGCTCACCCCGGATGACTTTCAATGACTTTGTAAGTGGATAATGCGGTTGAGGGATGGATTTCACGATGCAGGTGGCTATTTTTTGGCTGATCCCTCGGGGCATCCCGTATTCCTTGCATCTGTCGCTCACTTCTGGGCGCACAGAGGAGCATTGAGAGCCTCTGAAGAGGGCTAATCGGAGGCGAACAATGCCGTGATTGCGGGTGACGAATTGGCAGTGGCGTGCTCGACTCTCGCCCACAAATTATTGACAATCGCCCAGCGGGGGTGACACTCGGGCCATGCACGCCGGAGGCCGCCTCATGGGTGACTGCCGGTGTAATTTTCTCGTCATCGCCACACTCAGAGTGGGGCGAACATAATGTGTGTCCACTTAGTGGGCATTTAGCAGATATTTATCGACCGAAAAGTGAAGGGGCGTCATAAAGTACGGGAATCAATGTCCATTTACTTCAATTTGCTCGCTCCTCTTTCACCGTAAACAACTAATTAATTGGTCACGAGATATCACACGGAATTCAGCGTTTGTCGCTCCTTTTTCTGCCGCTCTTCACAGAGAACTTTCTTGTGCGAAACTCGTTATTTTTGATTGCACAGGGAGAGAAGAAGTGGAGTGCAAATGGAAGTGACATGGCGAGGACAAAAGGAAGAAATTTAACCGCGAAGTCACTATTAGGAGGCAAAGCGCCACAATGAACCGCACAAGATCGGAAGTGAAAGATATTAGTCTTGACTCTGGTGAGCGTCTTTTGTGGGCATGTTTAAAATTTCTGACACTTTGGACATCTCCCCAAGTTCATTGTGAGCTCTGTCGCATTTCTGTATTGAATATCGCCAACAAACGAAGTGTCAATCAATTGATTGGCAAAGGTTACAGCATTAATTTTTGCTGAACCCCCAGGACAGAAATATCACGGCAGTCACGAGAGGAGATATTGAATTACACTCTCAGAGATGAGAGGAAGTGAAAAGTTAGACTTTTATGCGAGAGAAATTTCTCAATTTCTCACCCAAAGAACATCAGATGTTCTCTCGCAATTCTGAAAGTGTCACAAGTGCAATTTGTGATTCTCCAATTAAAAAATATGTTGCCATCTGTTGAATTTTCATATCACTCCGCATTGATTTTCCATCACTCGAGTGGAACATTTTACAATGCCGTCCGCGCGCTGAAGGACCAGAAAGGATACTAAGAGGAGGGAAATTAAATTTCATCCCTCATCTCTGACATTTGATGGCATCGGAGACCTTTTCTGTAAGAGGACCTTTGTGTGCCGGTGCCGACAATACAATGCCAGAGATCATGGACCCCTGAAGAATCCTGCCTCCTTGGGAGATTGAGGTCAAATGTGAATTGCCAGTGAGAACTGGAGTTGCAGCATCACTGCTCAAATATCATCCAGCGATTTTATTTACAAGTCTCAAATAACCGTCATGCAAAGAGGAAAAATCACTGGGCTTTAATCAAAGGACAACCCTTGGTGAAAGTTGTTTAATTAGTGTTAGAGGAAATTCCCTCGAGGTGTCTTTTGCCGGCGTCAATTTTCTCAAACATTTTTTATCCCAACATCCTTGAGATTGTGGAGTTTCCCAGTGTGTGGAGAACCGGAAAGTCTGGCTCGGAGTCTTGGAAGGCGAACGAAGGACGAGCTTGAGGTCAAATGGTCACTACTGGTCATTAAGACTGTGCACAGCTCAACTGGAAGGGTGGATAGGGTTACAGGCTCAACGGGAAAAGACGTCGCAAAGGGTGAGAAGCGGAAAAATATTGCTCATTAATAATATTCCCGGGCGATGAGTGACAATATGGAATTGGCTTCCATCAATTTATGGCGGACGCGTCTGCAAGATAGTCAATCTAAAAGCCTTTCCCACCTTTTCGAGACATAAAATCTCTGCGCATATTTATGTACTGGTATGCCTTGGATCTTCAGCTGTCGGTGGTCATTGTTAGGGTGAGGATAAGATCCTTTTATGTAATGTTGTCCAAACAATTCCCTCTCGAACAATGACCGCCAAAACTGACCGTTGCGGCATTTCTTGATAATTGCCGAAATAAATATGCTCTCTGGATTTCTCACCCTTCCCCAAAATCGCACCCAGCGTCTCTTGTGCGCCTAAAGAGGAAAAATTATATGTCTCAAGTCTGCAGAAAGCTTCAACATATTGCCACGCAGATGATTTAAATTCAGAAAGTGCCCCAAAGTATGTTTATTGATATTCTCCACAATTTGATATTAATGGGCGCCGAAAATGGCATTTCATTTGGCATTCAAGTCACAGTGCGAAAGCCAGGAAGGACACATTATATCCCTGAGTTCCGCTGTGGGTTCAACAGCATAATACTTTTATTCACATGATCCCGCCTGAGCACTTTGCTCGAAATGGAGCGCAAAGTTTTGGTCTTTTAGGGGGTCGCGCGTGGTAAATTTATGCAGAGTGACACTCTCGACTCAACTTTCTTCTCGCCAGCACTAATGGATCATGTGCTGGAATGGATCAATACCCGAATAAATTTTCCCTGTATATTCTGAATCAATTGTTGGGATATGTTTTCTGGGAATGTTTATTGAGGAAGTGAATTTTTGTCACTGTGTGTGTCCTGGGACAACAGTCACCCTTTATCAATAGTCTCATCTCTGGGCTTGTCTCTCCAGGATGAATGAATTGACTGGGGACAAAAGAGGAAAAGGTGAAGACAATGGTGAGTGTCTGCAAAATATTTATCACATCAAGGGTATCTCCTTGTACTATTTTTACATAACACACACCATAGGTGGAATCATACACCCAGATTTATGATAGCGGATACCGAGGCACAATGTTGACTGTTTTTGTGGTTTCTGGACATGAAGAGGATCGTCCCTTTTGTGCCATCCCGACACAGAGAAATTTCTCTCTGTGTCTCTCTAGCGATATTTAGCCTATTTCACGTCCTCCCCATTCCTTCTCTCCCATTCACTTCATCAAGATGTCTTTTGAGCCATGCACTGTGGTATTCTCGAGGGTATTTATTTATTGCACAACATTCATAATGTGGAATTCAGCATCGAGTGTGCGTTATGCGACCAAGAGAATAAATAATGATGTGGAATTGGAGACAATTCCATTCAATATCACCCATATCGAATCACACAAAGTCCGCACACCACAAAAAGCCATGACTCCTATGTCGCACACAACCCCCTCCCCCCAAGCCATAATCGGATTCAATGACAAATCTCATGTAATTTAATTACGCCACACCGCCAGATCAACCCCTTTTGCCAAATACACGAACTCGTCAACCCCTTTCCGGGCTAATTTATCGCAAAGCGCCTCTATGCAAATCCATGGCATGTACATTATAACATTAAATAATTCCAATTGATAATTTATCAATGTCCCTTCGCCCACACCTCGTCACTTCGGGACCCGACCCACAAATGGCTTCAGATGACCATTTATTCTCCCATGTAGAGTGTGTGTTCTCTCGTTGAACCTTATTGAAAGTCTCATGGTGTGGCTGGGTTGTAAAAAGCCATCATTAATTAGATGCAAATGATCATCCCCACATCCAATCTCAGCAACTACACATTGCTCTAACTCGCTGTTGGATCGTTTTTCGCAGTATTGTAAGTGCTTTCCTGAAATTAGAACCCCAAAGACAGCCAGAGAACTGAATGTTTTTGAGGGATATTTTTAAATTTACTTCCTAAAATAGGATAAATTAGACCAGGGAAGAAATTCAAAGAATGGCGTGTATTTAGTTTTATTTCTATTATAAGCTCGGGAAATTGCAACAAGTTGAAGCGTCTGGCGAAGTTCAACACCCTCGGATCAATTCTCTGCGGCCAGAGTGATTGCGAATAGAGTCGGAGAGGCATTGGAGCCGCACAACCCTTGACAGTGAGTGTGGTATTCGAAAATTCATGGTGAGGCACATGTTTTGTCGGAACTATCTCATGGTATCAGGAGAGGAACAAAAAGCTCCTGCCTGGCATATAAGATTCATTACACATCATCAGTCACCCGGACTGACAAAATAATTGGACTATGTACAAGGCATTATCATCACCATTACCATTATGCTGCGGTGGTGGAATGAACAAAGAATATTTCGGTATCCAGTAACATGGACATGGCTTGTTTGTTTTAATTAGAAGGCGATACCAGAGGCAGTCTCGAAGGAGATCCTTTCATCTGGGTCTTGGAGTGTGCCAAGGAATCCCGTGTGCTTCGCCCACACCCTCTGCCACTGCAGTGAACTCTCTCTCTCTCTCTCTCGTAATCCGATTTGGGTGGCTTATGTGCTCTCTTGGAGATCTATTTAGAATTCAATCATGCATCTCTGGCCAGACACGCCTGAGTTCTCATCTATCTGACGAAACATCTGGATTTTCTCATATTCCCCAATCGCATAATATGTCGAAAAATTGTCAAATGACTCCATAAAGTATAATGTAAGAGCAACCACGTGGCTAGGTGGCTTCATCTGCTCGATTTTTCCTTCCTTTTTCCAGACTATAATTGCTATTGACCGCCATTAAGATATGAAACATATCTGGGCAGAGACAATTAACCCTGTGTGTGCTTGACGAAAAGTGAACCATAACTCCTTATTTGCCTGACATTTATGGCTCCTCTCTGCTGAATTTCGGGCTCATCTTCCGATTATGAAGAGAGGGAATAAACTAAACATATTGCGTTGCACTGCAACATCATCTTTTTTCGGTTCTGTGCTCGTCCACTTTGTCACCATTCGCCTCACCGCCCATCAAAGTTGAGAAGCACGGGCTGAAGAGTCTTGAGTGTGTGTTGGAGAATGCGAGATTATCTCCTCACATGCGGACTTTGTGAATATTTCTGCGCGATCCACTATATCACGGTAAGTGCTCTTCTTCAACGCATGTGGTTTTTGATGTCCTGCCGAGATTTGACCTCTCGCCTCGTGAGATTAGATCAAT